GAGGAGGAGGAGGAGGAGGAGGAGGAGGAGGAGTAGGCGGAGGGGAGGCGGAGGCGGAGGGGAGGCGGAGGAGGAGGAGGAGGAGGAGGAGGAGGAGGGAGGAGGAGGAGGAGGGAGGAGGAGGAGGAGGAGGACGCGGAGGCGGAGGCGGAGGCGGAGGCGGAGGCGGAGGTGGAGGCGGAGGCGGAGGCGGAGGCGAGGTGAAGGAGGAGGAGGTGGAGGAGGATGAGGAGGAGGAGGAGGAGGAGGAGAGGAGGAGGAGGAGCAGGAGCAGAGGGGATGAGGAGTAGGAGGAGGAGGAGGAGGAGGAGGAGGAGGAGGAGGGGAGGAGGAGAGAGGAGGAGGAGGAGGAGGAGAGGAGGAGGAGGAGAGAGGAGGAGGAGGAGGAGGAGGAGGAGGGAGGAGGAGGAGGAGAAGAGGAGGAGGAGGAGGAGGAGGAGGAGGAGGAGGAGGAGGAGGAGGAGGAGGGTAGGGAGTAGGAGTAGAAGGAGGAAGAGGAGGAGGTGGAGCAGGTGGTGGAGAGGAGCAGGAGGAGAAGGAGAGGAGGAGGAGGCGGAGGACGAGGAGGAAGCGGAGGAGGAGGAGGAGGAGGAGGAGGAGAGGGAGGAGGAGGAGCAGGAGCAGGAGCAGGAGGAGGAGGAGGAGGAGGAGGAGGACGAGGACGAGGATGAGGATCCTCCTCCCTCCTCTCATCTCCCCCATCTCCCACCTCCACCGCCTTTCCCACCCCCACCTCGCCAGAGTTTTCGAGTGATCCCAAAACACCACCAGAAGAACCATGGGTTGCGGTGTTTTCCATGCAGAGAGGGTAAGGCGAATGAGGAGGAGGAGGCGGAGGAGGAGGAGGAGGAGGAGGAGGAAGAGGAGGAGGAGGAGGAGGAGGAGGACGAGGAGGAGGAGTAGGAGGATGAGGATGAGGTGGAGGTGGGAGGAGGGTGCGAGGAGCGAGGAGGAGGAGGAAGAGGAGGAGGAGGAGGAGGAGGAGGAGGAGGAGGAGGAGGAGGAGGAGGAGGAGGAGGAGGGGGAGGAAGACGGGAGGAGGGAGTAGAGAGGAGAGGGGGAGGAGGAAGGCGGGAGGAGGGAGGTCGGAGGGTGGAGGAGGAAGGAGGGAGGTGGGAGGGTGAGGAGGGAGGAATGAGGAGGATTGAGGAGGAAGCAAGGAGGCCAGAGTAAAGAGGGAATGACGAGGTGTGCTCCCCCCTCAGCAGAGGCCCGCCGCCTGGGGCCTACCGCCCCCCTCGAGCGCCGGCGAGCCCTCCGCGGCGCCCAGCACGGAGGTGTGAGTGGGCGCGCCCGTGGGACGGGCCCTGGAAAACCGTGGAGAATTGACACAGGCATCCTCGATCCTCGAACCTCATCCTCCACCTCCTCCCCTGCGACGACCCAGACCCCTTCGCGCTGTGAAAGAATCACGACGGTAGGCTTTTCGCTATTTTCGGCCTCTGGGGGCCCTTCCCGGGCCTCGGGGCCGTCACAAAACCGACTCGGGATGAAAAACCGGTCCCGGGGAAGGGGTCCAGACCGCCGCCTCAGCGGCAACGTGGCGGTCGGGATCTTCTGCACAGCGTGTCGCGCCGCCGGTTCTGGCCCGCAGCGCTCCAGCTCGACACGCTGTCCCTTGGCATCGCTCGGACGTGTGCATTTTTCCTTCGGCGAGGACCATCGAGGAACACCCTTGATCATTTGGCGAAAAAACCAGCACGAAACCGACAAAAAACACAGGGAGTGGACGTCCGAGCGATGGCCAGGCAGGGCATGGCGTGTCGCCGGGGCTGGCGCGGCGACACGCCATGCACAAGTTCCGGACCGCAGGGGGGATGGGCTCGGGCGTTCGAGGTTCGAGGAGCGAGGTTCGCTTCTCGGGAGGGTTTTGGTCGGCCTGGGGTGCTGGCGGCCACGGCTGGATCCGGGTGGGATAGGCGCCTGGGGGCGATGAAAGGGCGATGGGGGGTCGATGCATTTCCCCCCTGAGCCCCCCTTGCGTTGCCCCCTGGCTCTCTGGTCATCACTCGGCTCTCCGGCTGCCGTTCGGGACGATCCGAGCATCTCTGGAGCCCCTCGGCGAGGCGCAGCTGCTGGCAGGCATTCCGAGGCTGGAAAGCCGACGAGAGCCATTGAGAACGTCAGAGAACCTAGAAGCCGTTCGCCCTTCTGACCTTGCCCCTGATCAGGGGTCAAACATCCATCCTTGGACTTCATCAGAATTTCGAGGCTCAGGACGGCCCTAGGACCTGATTTTATCTGCCCGCTTCTTTGGCCAGGACCACGCGGATGTGCTGCCGCGGGTTTGCCGCTGATCTGTCAGCGATGCATCGGCGATTCCAGGGCGATGCTCCTTCACCCGAGCTGGTCTCCCCCTTCCGTTCCCCCTCGGAGTCGGAGGAGGGCACAGGCGAGAGGTCCACGGGGCACGCGCAAGGTCTTCTGAAGGTTTTCGGCCTCACGGGGGGGGATGCCAGTAGGTTTTCAAAGCATCTCGCCTGAGCGTCGCGCGCATCCG